GGGCCACCTCCGCATCCTGAGCCTCGGGGGCGGGCTGCAGTTGCTCTCTGGCCGCCCCGCGGAGGCGGAGAGCGGGGCCCGCAGGGAAGGCCTGTGCTGAGGGGCTCCGTGTGTGAGCCTGCCAGCTGCCTTCCTCCCGTGGGGAGGAGGCGAGTGCCCAGTGGGCTTTCCTCTTCGGTGCCCCTTCTCGACAAGGTTTCTAGATTTCACTTATTAAAACCTGCTTGCGCTGCAATAACTAGTTTTCCGCTCACGAGTTTTTATGTTAAATGCGTTTCTTATGTCTCCATCTAGCACACTAGACATTACATTATGCAAGGCTCCTCTTGCATTTGAAGAATGTGACCTCAAATAGCCCTCTCTTGTCTGAGAACATTGATGGTTTGAGTTACAAGTTCTTTGAAGTTACAGTTTACAGGATGTAAAAACCCTGAAAGGAGTGTCCAAAAAGTATGACTGGTAGAGATTTTTAAAAAGCATCAGTGTCTCAGACTTAGCAGGTGTTTTGTAGCAGATACTAGAGGTAGACATGTCAACAAAAAATGAAGGTCCGGTGTTGTCATGCCTTTGTTGCTATGTCTGTACAAACTGTAGGGATCTGAGAAGTATGCCTTGCTAGTTACAGCTGCCAGGTGCCAAAGTGATAAACTCAGAGAAGGTTCTTAGAATGTGGATATCCAAAAATAAGTTAAAACTTACTTTACTTAAAACTAAAAATTTAAACATTAAAACAAAGTTCCTATTTTCTGAAAGATTTTTCTTCCATTTTGTATTTTAATGCTGTATACATTATACAAGTGTTTTCTTGAGAACTTTGTTATCAGTAGCTTGATTTTATGCCTACAGGGAGCTGTTTCTCAAACAGCAGGTTTTCATGTGATGCCTCATATTCCCCCTCTCATTTCAGTGACTAGTTGTAGGGGTTTGTGCTAGTCAGGGAGCAGTTAATTAGCTTTAATTGCTGGCAGTGGTTTAGCTTCCCCAGAAGGGAGGTGGAGGACAGGCCGTAACTACCAGGCTGTTGGCAGTAATTAAGACTCGTTAGCTGTTCTGTGGCTGAAGTCAAGATGCTGTCCCCCATGAATTCACCTGCAAACCACTTAGGAGTAAATTGTTGTAGGGGTTTGTGCTAGTCAGGGAGCAGTTAATTAGCTTTAATTGCTGGCAGTGGTTTAGCTTCCCCAGAAGGGAGGTGGAGGACAGGCCGTAACTACCAGGCTGTTGGCAGTAATTAAGACTCGTTAGCTGTTCTGTGGCTGAAGTCAAGATGCTGTCCCCCATGAATTCACCTGCAAACCACTTAGGAGTAAATTTGCAGTTTGGAAAACTGCATTGGTAATGATCATAATAGGTATATTTATTCTAATCTTATTCTCTAATTGCCTTATTAAGGTAAATAATTTAGCAGTAGTTGCAAGTTGAAGGAAAAATTTTCCAGAGTGATGCTAGCTGAAACACTTTAGCTGAAAGTGAAGTTTATGCTAATAAAAACTTAACTCCAGGTAGAATTCTAGCTTTGACTGGAATGTTGTCAAATACTAACCTTACTGAGCAGAAGCTTAACTCTGAGGTAGACTTCAGGTGAAACAGCTCCTTGTAGACAAACATTAGGTGGCTAACATATTTCTTTTAAAACAAATTAGGAGTATGAACTTGAAATGCTTCTCAGCATTTAACAGCAATTTCAATGGAAAGACCATGGGAGAATGATGGCAATAAGAAGAAAGATCTATTTAAAGAAAAAAAGGATTAAAATAAGATTGTTGGGCTAGTGTTTGCTGTGGGTTTTTACATATACGGGTGTATGTGTATATATATGTCAGGGCACAGAAAACTTTCTACAAACGTCATCAAAGCCACACTGCTACAAATAATCCCTTGAACAGCTGGCAAATGGCCAACTTTTTTTTTAATTAGCATTATATAGATAATTGAACTTAATGGTTTCCTGATATACTTAATAGTCCAAAATGTGACACTTTTTTTTTCCTGTGTGGAGGGGCTATTTAATCTATTCTAAATCTAACTCAATTTTTAAAGATGTCTAAAATACTCTGATTTCTCAACTATATCGATTTTCTTTTCTATAAATGGTAATGTTTCTTGCATTTAGTGTAACTCCATCATTGTACTTTTTAGCTAAAGTTGTGTGAAGCTACTTTGACTGTACTTTTATTACATCGAAATGATCATTGCATTGGTTTTCTCTGCCTGTTTCAGAAATGGGTGTGCATGGGGGAAAAGTGAATTCCTTTTATTTTACATTAAAATTTGACTGAATAGATGAAGATCTAATTATGCTTGATATACATCCTCCCCAGATCTCAAAGCTTTTGAAAGAAGACTAACTGAATATATTGCATGTTTGCAACCAGCTACAGGACGTTGGAGAAGTAAGTTTGATGTTCCAAGGGACAAACAGGATTCTCTTTTTCAAGCTTTTTAGATGTATCAGTGTGTATTTTTGATTTATGTTTGCCCAAACAAAAATCTGTGCTTAAACTCTCTGTAAAATTTCTGTGGTATACATTCAAACACTCTGCAACAAGATAGTACAAGATAGCAAACTAATACTTTAGCCAGAGTTAGAAAAATGAGGACAAGATTGAATTAGCTCAGGACTGAATTATTCTGGAAATAGAAGGGACAGTAAGTTGTTGTATTTGTTTCTATTTTGGTTTGGGTTTTTGTTGTTGGTTTTTTTGAAGGCTCAGACTTCCCAGACAGTCACTATAGTTACTTGAATTAAATTCAATTGGGTGAGATTTTCACCTTCAATTTTATAGGGACTAGGTTACAGCGGTGTGCCGTAAGGGCAGAATGTGTCCTCATCTCTGGTCTAACAGGAGAGTTTGATGGAGGGAGGAAGGCAAAAAAATACTGCAGATATGCTGCCAACTTTGGGATCAGTAGTCCATGGTGGAAATAGACTGCTTTTTTGTTGTGAGATTCTGCTGGAGTTTCCATATGCAAAGAATACAGACACTTTTTTATAACATAGAAAACAGCATCTTTTCTCCTGAGAGGCCAAGAGGTTAATTTCAAATGAAGGAACTGGTGGAATGCCTAACAAGCAACACCAACAAAAAAACCCAACCCCACCCCAAAACAGAACCAACCGAACACCACCACCCCAAACCCCCTTGTTTCAGAGCAACTGGGAGGCAAGCAGATATTTGTAAGTAGATCTGCCCAACTTGTGCGTGCCTACTGTAGGAACGCATTTGGCTTTCAGAATTTCTATTTACTGTCAGATATAATTAAAAAAAAAAAAGGTACTGGAAACTTCTAAGCGTATTTAAATGAGGTTTGGATAACTAGTATTGTGTTCACTAGCTGACTTTTTTCCCCCAACTCCTTGTTTTCCTAGTTTTGTAACTCACGTAAAAGAGGGACTTTTTACTTTAATTATAATGGAGTATATAACTCAATGTTAACTTTTCTCCTGTTATCCTGGGAAAAAAAAGTATTTGTATAGAGAAGAAGCTGTATGCTTTTGTTAGATCTTTTCCAACTTTCTTTCGAAAATATAACTTGTTAGGGTTATTTTTTAATTTTGTTATTAATTTTGTAATATCAAGAAGGAATATGCAACTCTATAGTAAACTATAGCAGTCTTATAAACCTGAAAGCAGTGTTTCATGAATATCTGGGGTTTGTTTTCAGGTTCTTTTGTATCATCCTAAAGGCTTGTAACTCTGGTCTTTTTTTTTTTTTGTGGTGTTTTTTGTTTTCCTTCTCCCCTCTCCCCAGTAAAAGACTTTATTTGCATCCAGAACTTCAGGCTCCACAGAAAACACTCAGAACTGCCAAATGTCTAATGAAAGCTGAAAGGATTTATGGGTGTGCAATAGAATATGAGCTTTCTGTACCTTTATATTTGTTCTGTTTCCATCAAAGCCTGTTCCCCAACCCTTTGTAGTCTGTCAAAATCAGTCTAGTATCTTGTGTTACTCTCATCTGTATCTAGCATTATCCATTTACAGTGAATTGATTATTTTTCCTAAGTCATTCTGGATGTGGAGAGGTTTTTGTTAAGTCTTCATGTGCTAATGCTAACATGCCTTCTGACTCCTGTTTAAATTCTGTGGGTTTTTTTCTCTGTGTCAGTTTGTAATTGTGTTGATTGGGGTGGGGAGCATAAGACAACTTAGATGTGCCACTGAAACTGCTGGTGCTAATGCCTCAGGCTTATGTGGAAGAGTTAGGGGCGTAGAAGCTTTAGTTCTGCTCTGCAATTTAATGGTGCTGCACGTCTGTTTCCCAGACTGCATAAGTTCAAACAGCATACTTAACATTTGGTACAACTCTTACTCCAGACTTCCAACTCGTACTTTTGCTAACTTTCCTTTCTTCAAAGCATCAGGATATTTTTACTTGACAGAATTTAGATTTTGGTACCTACTTGTCCTATCCAGTAAACTCGTACAGAATTTTTACAGTTTCACATAGTAAAAGTTTCTTTGCCAGTTTTCATTCCTGCCTTCCAAGTAGAAGCTTTTCCTCCCTCAGAAGTGGGAGAAGAAATAAATGCTGTTTAATAGGAGTGAGGTATATTGCTTCTGACTCTTGTTCTTTTCTTTATCAGTGATTCTGATAGTGGTATCAGTCTGCACAGCCACTGGTGCTTGGAACTGGTTAATAGACCCGGAGACACAAAAGGTAAAGATCAGGCTAATCCCAAATGTCATCTGTTTTATAGCTTGGTGTTGCAGTCAAGTGGTATAGTATATTGGAAACAGAAAGGCTAGAGGTTGTTCTCCCATGAAACTGGGAGATAATTTTTAGTTAAGCTCTCAAGCTGTCTGGAATTGTTGTGGAATATGTCCTGGGCCAATGCCTACCAAAATGCTACACCTTGAATGCTTATCTAAAGAATTATTCACAAGTACTTAGAAATGGCTAGGAGCAGGTTTGTGGTGTTTTGTTTTTTTTTAATTAAGTGAACTAGGCAGCAACTTTCTGTATGTTTTAGAAAGTGTATAGCGGGACTAATCTGACTTCTTTCCTAGGTGTCATTTTTCACATCACTTTGGAATCACCCATTTTTCACAATTAGCTGTATTACCCTAATAGGCTTGTTCTTTGCTGGAATACATAAAAGAGTGGTGGCACCATCAATGTATCCTTTGATCGTGTTTGTCAGGTTAAAATTGTAGTAGTTACTGCTGTTATTGAAGCCTATGCTAATACTGCTTTTCCAATTTTTACTTACTCTGTGTACAAGTGTTAGCTGCTTTCCTTGACACAGTCCACACAGTATAGCAGCCCGATGTCGAACTGTTTTGGCAGAATATAATATGTCCTGTGATGATGTAAGTGTTAGTGGTTCATTGCTTAAACCTTGTTTTTTAAAAAATACAAATAATTTGAAAAGGCACACAGTGTTTTTCTGAACAGCACTTGTATATACTTTAAAAAATTCTGTGTCTCCTAAAACTGAAGTGTAGAATACTTAGTATTGTTCTGTGGGTCGTTTTAAACTTAGCCTGTAAAATTGAAGTGCAATTGTTGAGCTCAATTTTCAGGGTCTAAACTTTTTTTTTCTGTCTTGCAGACTGGAAAATTAATTTTGAAACCTAGGCCTCATGTTCAATAAGGGCTGTCTTCCTTCAGTTTTTTCCACTGCCATGGAAACCAAAAATGACCTTTTTTTAAGGTAGTATGACGGCAAAAAACCAAACAGGACTGGTTGTCACTGCCTGGGAGTGAGTCTTACACAGTTGACAGTGAAAGTGTGCAATATTCCTTTCTTGAATATGTATCCAAATTCTTTGTTACCATATTATCAGTGCTTTTGCTACTTCTGATTACCTCTTTTTCAGTATTAGTGTCACTTTTTTACTTCAGCTAGGACAGAACATACAGGTGAAGTATGTTAATCGGCTATGAAGTTGAACTTGAAAATCAAACCTCATTTGTGTTGATGTGTCTTTGTAAGCTATTGTAAATAGCAGATCGATGCCAACGTTCAGGAAAAGAAGTAATACTTGCTGTATGGATTTTTTTTGTTCTCATGAACAGTATTGAAAGGAACGCTTACCATTCCCATGATGTTTTATTAGCACACTTATTCATTACAGCTGTCCTTGTCTCCTGATCACTCTTTTTGGAACTGGTAAAAAGGCTTGCAGAAAGACTGACTGTGCTGGAGAAAACTGGTCTTACTGTTTAAGAACTTTGCTAATATATCAAGGATGACATTTGTGAAATCGTATCTGTAGTGCACCAGCCCCTGTCATTGTGGTCATACGTAGCTCCTTGGTTGATCTGGTTCACAGCACTGCTATTTTAAGATTTTGATATTTTAAAAATTGTCTTAAATATGCCTGTATCTTCCCAATTGTAAGGTTGTACTGTATCTTAAGTCCACATGACCATTCTGAGTGGATTTTTATGCTGTGATAGTCTGAATATGAAACTAGAATTGCAAATGTTTAACTTCAGATTTGGTGAAGAAAATATGAAGAGTGCCACAATAAAATAAGAAATTTTGTTATCCAAAGTGATAAAAACAAGGTCCGGATGTTATATGCATAAAGTGTAACTTTGGAATAGCTAAAATTGTAAAGAGTTTTAAGAGTTTAAGTTGTTCAAGGTGCCTTTTTAATTGTTTCAAACTCTCTTAATTGACTAAAACTGCAAAGCTGTTGCAACTTCAGTAACTCCTACTACAAGGTGGACTGGCTTTCAAAGGCAGCCTGTTGATGTAACTTTGTGAGTCGAGACATTAAGAATTGTCTCTTGTAACTTTTCCAGTAAGTCTTCTGCACATCCATTATTTTTAATTGCTGTATATTTTGTAGGTAAATGTGTATAAAATAAATTCTTTGTATAAACAGATGTTATCTTCTTTTGCACAGTACAAAATACAGATCTCAGATGAACACAGAAGAACTTCAGAAGTTTATAGCTGAAGTCTGTAACTTTGATACTGGACCAACATTTCCTGTGTTTGAAGTGGTTCTTAATAATCTAAGATACTGACACCAGAAAGCAAGTCCTTCCAGTTTTCCATCCTACAGGTCAATCTTGCCTCTGTAAGTGCTTTTAGAGGAAATTGTTTCATTCAGCATTTCTCTTGTTTGAGTTTTTGACCTGGGGAAACGTCCAGAGCAGACCTCGTGTCCTTGTACACCTGCGAGGATACCGCTTGGTGCTGGGGTTACAGGGCTGCGGGGCTAAGTTACGCCCGTTTGGCTGAGCGCAGGAGGCGTTCCGCTCGCCTTGCTGGCGGTGCCTGCCCGGCCGGTGACCCGTGCTGCCTGTGTGCCAAGGATGGCGCGGC